TTCTTTATTTTGAAATGTCATATTCTCAAAGGAAGGGCGCATCAAGCAAGCTATCGCAAAAAAACATATTTTGAAGGTAAATATATCAGAAAGGCGCAACTCTGTCATTTTCATAAGATTTTTATTTATTTTTTTTTTGGGGCAAATCTTTTTTTTTTTTGTAAAGTCGCCTGCCATTTTTAAATCATCATCTGTCTCTTTAATTTAATATGTAAAGTTGTAGCGTATCCTCGATTATAAAGTGAATGTAAAGCATAATGTAACTCTACGTTGTTCAATTAAAAAGATGATATTCAATAAAATTAATTTAATTATTACTTTGGCCAAATGTACATCATAATAGAGTGAGTTCTGTTTCGCGCATTGACGATAAAAAATCTGAATTTGTAAAAAACTTTTTACAAGCTATACAATTCTATTATGGATTTTGTAGATGAAATCCAAATCATTCTCACTTTTAGTTTCATTCACAATAATTAAAAAACAAAATCTTATTTAATCTCAGATTATATTCCCATTCATTTATTATTTAATGTATATATTAATAAACCAGTTTGTGTTCTCCGTAAGCTTGTAAAAATGATTTTAAATCTGTGAGCGTTTAATTAAAAATTAAAGGCTATTCAAAAAAAAAAAAAAAAGTGTGTAAATTTCAAAATGTGTAATTGGACTGTTAAATCACTTTTAACTCCAATTTTATGTTTTTTTTTTTAATTTAATTTAGAGATTGTTAACAAGAAAAAAAAAAAAAAGATTAGAGAGTGAGCAGAGGATGTTGACTTTAATGACTTTTGGGCGAGCGTTCAATGTCTTTTGCTTTAAAGCATTTATGTAGCAAGGCATGAATGCTATAGCATGTCTTCTCTAATTGTTTATAATATTAAAACAGCTTTCCATTTTTCTAAACAAAGAGGCGGAAATACTCTTCATGAAGTAATGGTAGTAGGGACGTTATCGAAACCGATTCTTTAAAATGGTTAATCGAAAAAGTAGATTTTGTTTTTTAAATGTAAAAATTTATTAAGAAATTTTTTTCATATCACTTAAGATCCTTCTTCCCAAAATTAATTTCATGAAGAAGGGAAAAAAAATCATTGAAAATTTTTCTGAAAATCAATTTTTTTTTTTTTTTTTTTTTAAATAATCAGAAATGATCTAAAGAGCTCTTTATAATGTAATATTCCAAATATCATTGTATGAGAATAGGCGGGTACTTGAAATCTGATTTTCCATAACATAACGTATCGCAGCATCCATCATTCAAATTTTTTACATTAAAATAATATTTTAAATTTATATTTTTTAGTAAAATTTGGCAGGAGAGGACGATTATCGATAAGTGTATATAAACCCTATTTGCGACTTTTTCTGTATATACCCGAAAATCGATATTTTGAAAACCCTATACGCACTTTTTTACTTGTAGACATGTATATTAAATATATATATATATATATATATATATATATTTTTTTTTTCTAATTATATTGAGGGTGTGGACCAACGAAAAATTTACAAGAACTTGTCTTGTCCTTTAATTCCAAATGGATTAATTATTCCCCCTTTTTATATCTACTATATGCCGACATCGTATTTCTTATGGACTAGACTCGTTATTAGCAAGGCTGATCAAAAGATACCCTACACCATTTCGCCTAGTACACCTATTGGTAATAATATTCCAAATATTGCATCTTATCTTAATAAAAAAGCACATTTTTCATAAAATTCCGCATTGGAGGATGGCGAAAAGTTTACATTCCGCGATCCAAGTTCATCAAATTTAATTTACTTTCTAAAAATTTTATTAATTTATCAATTTCCGTCATAAGTAAAAGTCAGATTTGCTCTGCATCCCTGAAGGGTTTGCTTTTCATGATAAGCCCTACATATGTTAAGTTCCAAATAAAAGGTCTATGGGATCGAAATTCCCTACGGTTAATTTTTTTTACTAAATTGATGTAACGAACCAGTTTTGATCATAAGATGTTAAAAATGAAACTTTTTTCTGAAGTTTTAAGAGATCTTGTAAGGAGCCAAACAATTGACCCATTTAGTTCAAATTCGCTCCATTTAATTTTTATGTCATATTATCATCATCAAAATATATTCATCATAAAAAATTAACAATTAGGCCTTTTTGGCATGTAAGGGCTTACGTTTCATGAGCATCCTTATGTGTGGTGTCCAAGAAATGGACCTACACGGTCCAATTTCGAAAAAATTGATTTCCTTTTGTCGATATTTGTCGATATTATAAGATGATTTTCATTATGAAATATTGAAAATTATACCTTCTTACCAAGGAAAGATTCAGTTTTCGTCGGAATAGCTATTTGAGAGGGGATTCAAAAAATATCTCGTCGAACGAAATTTTTCATAACAATTTAGAACGTCGAAGCGGTGTTGCTTATGGAGTTTTTATCGAAAACTGAACTTGTAAAAAGTGAACCTATCCAAACTATTTTCAATAGCGTTTGTGCTTGGCCACATGGACAGACATCAGTCGGACAGATAAGCTCAGAAAATGATTCTGCATCGATCGGCATAATAAAACACATGGGTCTATCTTACGCCTCTCTGTGTGTTACATACGTCCGCACGAACTTAATTTACCTGGTACTATGAATTGTGTAGGGTATAATGATTATATGGTTTTTTTTTCTTTCACATAATAAAAGTGTCGTATTCCAATTTTTAGTTTAGTTGAAAAAAAAACATCTTTGAAGTGCCAAAGGTTTGTAAATATTAATAATGAAAGCTAAAAAGTACGGTTAACCGCTCTCAAGATGTGTTTTTTTTTAAAAAACAGATATAAGGGCTATTTTTGAAATATGATAAAAACATTTTCGATTGGAATTGTCGTTCAGTATCGAAAACCGAGATATTAAAGTGTTTCCGAGTGGCGGGATGCTTCATACAATTTCAAGAGGAAAACCAAAGAGATTACTATGACTCTTGGTAACTTAAACTTTTCTCATGCCATAGCAACATTGTAGAAATTTGCATACATCTTTTTCATGACGAATAGCCCGACAGTGAAAACCGTATGGTAATTGCATTGAATAACGCTTGTTATATGACAGTTTCACTCCGCCTGTCATTCTCATAAGATAGGTGCGACACAGTGATATCCAAAATTAGCGTTTAGATGAATGTAATTCATTTGTGTTTTACATGCATAATTACAGTGATTTTCTACCAACATGCATGTAAGCATAAAACGCTATGCTACTGGTTTACATAGGAGAGACAATCAACGCATTCTTTTTATTTTATTTATATTGTTGTTGTTGTTTTTGTAATTCAATCTATTTCGGAAGTTTTTCTTAATAAATTTGAGTTTGTGTTTTTTTTTTTTTTGAAAAATATTTCAAATTTCTTTTTTGCAATATTTTGGTCTTAAAGCCAAGTAGAAAAACATGCTATTTTGGCCATAACAAGTTTAAGTTACATTGTTTTTACTTGAAAATATGGAAACGGAATTCTCTTTGGAAGAAATATATGTTAAATAATGCATTTATAGTGTGTTGGTTACACCCAATAACAACATAGGATGGAGACGATATGCTTATATTCCAATGTTACGTTTGGACTTTTCTATGATTTTGACTGATGTCGGTGCAGGCGCAAGGATTACAGGTAGAGAGGGTTGGAAGCATTCATGCTTAAATGCATGGAAAGTCGTACTCTTTATTCTACACCCGATCGAGTGGCTTGGTTTGCTTCTATAAATGTTTTAAAATGTTCGAACTAAAATTCCGAGTCGGACAAAACCACATGAATAGTCAGTCGTCTATGAATGGCTTTTAAGAAACCAAACTGCATTCCTTATAGCTTAAGATAAGAAATATTTACCTTACGCAGAAGGTATCTAAAATTCGTAGTTAAGGCAAATGAAGTTTTCCCCTTTTTTTGTTTTTCGTTTTTCTTAAATAATATAATTATTATTATGGCAATAAAGTCAACGAAAGACAGACACGCACATGAACATATTGGTAAAAAAATGAAGTTCACCTTGCTATGTGACAAAACTTGACAATAAGTACGTATTGTGTCTTAATGCGTGCCATATAAGATTAACAGAATATGAAACGAAGAGAGAAATTTTGTAATGTATATGCATGTAAATATATATATATATATATATATATATATATATATATATACATACATCGTAACAAGACATATAGCAAGTTTTACTCATTCATTTATTTTTTTTTTATGCCCATCACCGAAGGATTAGGGACATGTGCATTTTGTCAAAACGTTTGTCGCGTCCAGAAGGACGGAGCAGAGATATATATTCTTGATCAGCATCAAATTCTGTCCGTCTATTTATCTGTCCGGGAGTGCAATGTCGGTTATGAACATTATCTTGGCCGCAAAAAAAAAGCTGTCAACTTCGAATTTCGATAAAAACATTGAAAGTTCTTGCACGCACCTTGGTGCTGAAAGTGGACCAAATAGGTCGAACGGCACACCCACAGTAGCACTGCGAACTGAGGACTGTTTTTCAAAAGGAATAAAACAATGGTTTTTTGGGTGAAACTGTATTAGCGACTGTACGAACATAGAAAAAAATTGACCATGCCTACCCAATATTATAGTGTATCAAAATTTAATGTTGTTTTGCAATACCTTTACAAGGCGCTGCAACAAGCTTCAAAAACCTCATAAATTCTTGGTCAGGTTCAAATTTGGCATGCACTTAAGCATGTCTGTCTTGTTGTCTGTCCGTCTGTCTATGTAGTATTTGTGGTAAATATTCTATCCTTAGCAAAAATGGAGAGAAATTTGCAAAAGAATTTATGAGTGACTTCAAGTTTTCCAGGGACACACGCTTATGCGACAAAAAACTTTTACTTTGAAAAAATCACCCGCGTCCACTCCCTATTATAGAGGAATAAAATTTGTCTTTTTTTCTTTTTTTTTTTTTGTCACTGAATCACATTCGCTTATAATTTTCTAAATTGTTTTATATAATTTTTCTTCTACAGATTGTCGAGAGACGATACGTGCAAAAAGAGCCAAACGACCACGAGCCCCGGAACCGATTCGCTTTGAGCCTGAACCACAACAAGATTTGGAAAATGATGATAGCGGTAGCCAAGAGAAAGATATACCAGAAATTCCCACCAATTTTTTGAGTCCTTCCGTGCGAGAGTATTTGGAATTGGGAAAATCAATACCAGGTAAGCGCAAATGGCAATAAATTTATGATTAACTATGCGAACAATTATTTCTGATTAAATTTGTGCAATGAAAATATGCAGAAAAATGTTTTTTTACGAAAACATATACAGACAGATATGACACACATTTGTATATATATATATATATATATAATGTTGTTTGTAATAAATAAAGTGAAATACAAAAAATAAAGAAAAAAAGAAGTTTTTTTTTGAATGTACGTGTTGCACAATCTTATTTGTGCACTTCGTGCTGTTAACAACAAACAAGTGATTGCTATAAAATGTGTGGGCGTGTGTATAGTATAGGTGGTACAGGCGTTTACAGTATCATGTCAATTACTACAGTAGTTGTTGAAAAAAATTTCAATAATAATTGGGCTTAAATGACCCCAACCGAAACTGAATGGAATTGTAATAAAAACAAGATGAAATTTTTGTTTTGTTGCGTATTTAACGTATGTTTCCCGAACACACTGAAAAGATTTCATTCATTGGCATCGCCTCTGGGGGAACTTTAAATAACTACTATACCATCACCATACATACATATATCTACGGATTTTTGTTTGTATCCAGCAGCCCTGGTAGAATAGTATACCATTTGGACACTTGGGAAAAAGTGCATTAAACGGTCAAGGATTAAGAGGAGAGTCATGCCACTGTTCATTTGTCCGCCCGCTTAACATCTTACTCTTACTGAGATGAAAAAAGATTGATTTGTACTTTCACTGAAGATATAGTTTTGTTGTTGTTTAAACTTTTTCCCATAAAAGCCGCCGCCATCTAAACATAGCTGCAATGCAAAAATATGAGAATTTAATCTTGGCATTCATTGTGTTCTTTGTGGAAATTGACAGAAACATTAGAGATTTCGAGAGGTTTAGTGTTAATCAGCGTAAGTACTTGCTAATAATCTAGCCCTATCTGATAGCCTGTCGTCTGCTTGCTATTAGTATCGTCTACATATATACATATTGACATGAGAAGAAGAGTATTGAGGAGATCAAGTTTAAAAGTAGACATCTTCCGCTTATACCTGCCAAGCAACTAGAAAAACCCTAAACTATTGTCGTAAATATCTTACACAATTCAGAACACATCGACATGGAAAGTAATACGAACATTCACGCGGATCGTTGACCATGCCTCGTTAGATTATATTCTGACTATTATATGTTTAGATTATTCTCTTGGTCCGCTCTGTTACCTTTAACCTGAACATTCCTATTTGCTGAGATCAGTTGCTTTTGAAGGACGATTTACTTTTTGCTTGCAATAGCTCAGTGTTAAAGTAAAGGTGAATCCTTTTAACCTTTAGTTAGGTCACTTAAATAGGTATAAATTTGGAAAGAATGGACGATGATTTTTTTTTCAATGAAATATCTATATGGGTTTAGTAGATACGTGCCGGCTAAGGTCGCAACAATTTTTTGCTTAAATTCGAAATACCTTTCATTTGTTCATGACAAATATGTGAGCTGGTCTTGATTGCAATAGCACGTGCCAATCATCGCGATATCGGATTCAGTTAATCCTAAACTGATTTTCAACCGCGACTGTTAGTCAATCGCAGAATGATTATCCAATCGCTTTAAAAATATGTCCCGAATTACTGTTTCGTCTATTGCATGGTGGTTCGCAGTCGAAGAGCGAAGAGATCGGGAAATATTTTACGTAACGTAAAGAGAAAGTCTTCTATGGTTTTCATATGGCGAATTTACGATCGCACAGTGCGTTTTTCTTGAAGGTGAAGCGAGTTTTAGTTGATCTGGGAAGGACTGTTCTTTGATTGTTTGGGAGCTTTCCGTATTTGGTTGATAGTAAAAAGTCCTTTTTGTTAACTGTATAGTGCAACGCTTGACCCATCAAAATGAAACGGAAATAAATGAAAGTCTATAGTCATAGGCTTGTCATGGTTAATGAAAATGAATGAAAGTCTGTAGCTATAAACCAAGAAACTAAGAAAGAAACATAGTAGGGGTTCGATTGTAAAAATTTATCTAAGGTTGATTGTCCAGTTTACAGCAACATCGTCCGTTCCCAAAACACAAACAAATCAAGTTTCTTCGATAAACACCGTGATCGGGGTTCTTGGTGCAGATTTGGATAACGTAAAGCAAGAGAGTTTTCCTTGCAGTGTAATTCATCCAAAATATATATTTCGATATTTCTTAAGCACCCATGCTCGTATTGTTGCAACGGATTTCACGTAGTACGTAACGCAATAGAGTTCGCACTTATGTATAGCTTTTCGTGTTTATTTTTTTTTTTTTCTTTTGAATATCAGTGTATAGCAGCAAATCAATTCTGTTTTCATTAGACTTTTCCAAAAAAAAAAAAAAAAAAACAAGAAGAAGAAAAAAAATGCATTTTTCGCTGGGAAAAAAATTATAAGAAAAAAAAAAAAAAAAACGTTTTAAAAAAAGAAAGAATCAACTACACCACACCAGCGTAACAACTAGCTGTGCACAGACAGAATTTTACGACCGTAACTAAAGTGCATCTACTCGTAAATTCATTTATTAATAGACCGTGTGCATATACCATCAGCATATATGAATGCTTAAGGTCTGATGAACGACCAGAAGCCAACCAGGGTGCCTTACATAGCCTGATCCTATTTGATTGTCCGTTTGTCTATGCTTGCGCACAGCTAGCAATGGGACCGGACCGGTTGGTAGAAATGTTTAAATTACAATCTCTTTCTTTTTTTTTGTTTTGTTTTGTTTTTGTTTTTGTTTTTTTTTTTTTTAAGCTGTACGTGTGTGTTATTTTTTTATCTGACAAATGCATTCGACACTTTTATGCATCACAAAAACAAATTGAACTTTATTAGTTTTTTCTTTTCGCTGCTTGTTTATTGTTTATAAATTTATACAACACACATACAACCATGTTCACCAGCAGCGTATTCAATTAGGCTGGAAGGGATTCTCGTGTACAAAAAACATTTTGGATTATTTGACATTCGTTTTTTCTTTTTTGTTGGCGAAATCTTTTAAAAATTATTTATATGTCAATAACTTTTACAGGTCGCCCAGGTGTTGATTATCCTATTTTATCTGCCATACCATATACAAACTTTTATTGTGACGAACAACTTTATCCGGGTTTCTTTGCTGACATGGAAACCAGATGTCAAGGTGATTTTATTTAAATACTTTAATAAAACTATATGTTAATGTTTGTTTGTTTTTTTGATAATTATAGGTTGGCATTATTGTGATATTGATGGACGTCAAGCGTCCTTTCTATGTCCAAATGGCACACAATTCTCTCAAGCTGTATTCGTTTGCGATTGGTGGTTTAATGTACGCTGTGATCTCTCGCCACGTCTCTATGCTATAAATGCTCGTCTCTATCAACGTCCGAAAGTTAATCCTACACGTCCTCATCGCATCATCACTAAGGAATTGATTGATGATATTTTCAATTAAAAAAAACTTCAAAGACATCCGTCTCATTCGTAAATATTGGAACTCACTATTAGATTAAACACGCTACGTGTTTTCATCTCATTGATTTAACAGAAGTAATAGTAGTAGTAGCAGTAGCAGTTGTAGCACTAGTAGTAGTAGCAGTAGCACTAGTAGCAGTAGCAGTAGTAGTAGCAGTAGTAGTAGTAGCAGTAGCA